AGGGGTTGGAGCTGGATGAGCTTTAAGGTCCCTTCCAACACAAATCACTCTTTGATTTAATGTCACATGTCCTTGATGCATTGTGCATCTCTGGAGAGGAGTCCTTGCTATGTGAGGTGGAAGCTTCACAGGATCTGTGGCTTCTGCTTTCATGCTGCTGCTCAGAAATGAAGCCAAACCTTCTGGGCTCTTCCTACCCTGCTTAGCTTTTTGCCACTGTGGGTGCAGTCCCACTTTTGAGGCTACTGCTCATTCCCTGGTCTTAGTGAGCCCAGCTGAAAAGTTTAAGGTGTACAGTGCATTTCATGTCCTTGGTAGAACCCTTCCATAGGTGAAAGCACAGCTTGGAGCTGGCCCGGCTGTCAGCACTCTCGGAGGAGGCCCTGAAGGGGCTGCTGGGTTCTGCCCAGCATTTCTGTGGTTGACAGTTTCCTGTTTTGCAGGGTGGGAGAAGGAAGAGCCTGCTGGAGTCTCGGAAATGCCTATGTCTCCCTGGGGAGCCATGAACAGGCTTTGCACTTCGCAAGGAAACATCTTGAAATCTCCCAAGAGGTAAGAGATGCTGGTTCAGATCAGAGGGAATCGATCCCCCCTGTTGAGAGGAAGGCTGTATTTTATGCCAGTAATTCTATTACTGTCGTTTTTCTCTTGCTATAACTGCTATAGGAAGCCCTCATCTATGTGCTGTTTCAGTGGAGTTTTCAGGATCTGCAGAACTTGGCTGGGAATATTCTTGCTATGGGAGGCTCCCAGCCTTCCCCTTAACTACAACTCAAACAGTTGCTGTACGTTGCTCCTAACTGATACTCCTGGGTGAGAAGGGACCTTGGGAGCAGTTGTCCAGTCTGCTGGCCAAGGTTGTGAACCCGGCTGGTGCGAAGGAGCTTGGATACCTCTTGGTGTCCAGTCTGTCAGTAAGACCCACCTTTCCTGAGCACGAGGCTATGAGATTCTGACCGAGATGGACCTTGTGATCCTAGCTGTGGTGTGGCTGGATTTGCTGGCAAGTACATGGAGAAGGCAAGGCCAACCTCCAGCCAGTGCCTGGGTGCTCTGAACCTGCTGTGTTTGCACTGCAGTTGGACAAGTTGTGTCCTCGCAGTGGAGCTGGCAGGGGATCCCAGCACTGTCCTGGTGCAGTTGGTTGCTGATGCTGGATGAGCACAGCTCACCCTGTGCCACTGCCCTGCCCTGTGGGGCCTTACACATGCAGCTTTCCTGGCACAAGAACATAGGGCAGTTTTAGGTGGCCCAGAAGTACAGGAAGCCAGAATTCCACTGTTTGCTCTTTCCAATGAGGAAATGGGCCGTGGCCTCTTCAGTCTTCCCAGATGAAGAAGTTGCCCTGCTGAAACACTAGCTGAAATCTCCATATGCAGGTGCTTTGTGTGTTTTCCTGCCCATCCATTAGGTCGGCTGAATCTCAGGGTAGGGCTGACATACCAGCTGAATTGTGTATTTAATTATACTTATCAGACAGGCAGAAGAAATCCTGTTCTTTGGCCAGGATGGTTTAGGAGAAATGAACTCTTCCAGCTGTAGGTTTAGGACTGTTGCAGAACAGGGCTGACTGCTCAGAGCTTGTCAATGTGCTGTGTGGATGCAGGGTGATGGGAGGACAAGGGCAGAAGTAGTCCTGGTGACTTCTGGGGTGGAGAGGAAACCCAGCAGGGTGGGAGTTCAGTGTTCATGTTCTGGGGTGATGGTTGTGATTACAGGGCATGTCAGGAGCAGGTTACTCATAGCAGGTGGCTGATAGACTCCCCACATCATTAACTAGGGAGCAATGCAGAGACTGTCCATTTGTGAGGAGAGCCTGCATTAGCTTCCAGCAGCTGGTGATTCTGTTATAAACCTGATGGTTTGTTCCAGCCTGGGGAACCAAGTGAGCTGCTTGTGCTGTTGTGGCAAACACCAGCATTTTGCCCAGGAGAAACCTAGTGAAGTTTAGCCTTTGCACACTGGTGTTTAACTGTGCTTCCCATCAGCTTTTCCCTTCTTCCCCAACAAAAATCTGAATCTAAATGAAATCTCAGTGTAACCACATTGGGAGCTGCTGCAGGGTGAGCAGAGGGTACTGAAAACTTCCTCTGGAACAGCTGGAATGAAGGATGTGCACCTGAAAACCTGGAAGCTGCCCCAGCTCCTAGACACTGCTCTGGAGTAGCTTTTCCACCTCTGCCTGTGGCAGGGGGCTCCTGGGAAACACACATCTGAGCTGAGGGCAGAAAACAGGACTCTGTGTGGTGTGTGGGGCAGGTCCTGCCTGGGGTCGTTGTCTTGTCAGTGTGTTCCTCTGATGCTGACAAGGGCCCTGAAGGTGATCTGGAATGAGTGGAAGTCAGGGAAGCATCAAGGACTGTGAGACCAAACCAGTAACTTCTCTGGAGATGATGCCAACAGCAAATCTCTTGTAATTGCTGGGGGATTTGTGCCTGATAAGCTGTTTGATCTGCTTCCCTTTAGTGCTTGGGGCTTTGTCATAACTAATGTGGGGATTTATGATTTGTCCTAGGCTGGCTCACACTGCAGCCTATCTCACAGGACCACAAAAGAGCTTTGTAAGGCATTTACCAGGAAGTCTGGCCTCTCCATGGGAACAGCCAAGGTCTTCCTCTGTAACGGAGGCTGCTGCTTCTCTGAAGATTTGAGGCTGTTTGAGTGACCTCTCTGTGTTTGGTGACGTGCAGCACAGTAACTTTCTGCCTTGGTTAAACTTTGAGGAGGATGCAGCAGCATGTCCTATGACTTCCCATAGGAGCCACTGGGCAGGTCTCTACCTGAAGATGTAACATTGGCTTCCTTGGATGAGAATGTGGAAAAACTTGGACTCAAAAAGATTTTGGAGCCTTGGGTGGGCAAATCACTAGAAACAAATCAAAGCTGTATGGATCAGTTGGAGAGCCAGGAGAGAAGGGCTTTCAGAGCATCCAGCCTCTGAGTGTGGCACTGCCCACATGGCTGGTAGTAGCGTGGCTGTCTGGTGCTCAGTAACTATGGAAATACTTGAGGAAGGGAGCTGAGAGTTTCGGGGCTCTCTGCCAAGCCAAACATGCAGGTTTAGCTCTGTCCCAGTTCTGCAGCAGTGGGCGAGCTCTGCCCCTTCAGTTCACTGTACTGATCTCCAGAGAATCACGTTTTGTGGTGCAGCCAGCACGTAGCCTGGATCCTCTCCTGAAGGATCCCTGAGGAATAGCTTTGGAGAGTTGCTTTGGTGTGAAAGCTGGGCTGTACAGTCCCTCAGGGTGTCTCCAAGCTCTCTTTTGGCTGGCTGTATGTTTGCTCTGATATAGGCCTGGCAAAACCCTTTATATGGCTCTTTGCTTGGAGCAAGTGTCCTTTAACCAGCTGCCCTGTTGGTTTCCTCCTGCAGATCGGGGACCGGAGCGGAGAGCTGACAGCACAGGGGAACATGGCCCAGCTCAGGACAGCCCTTGGCTTGGGCCCTGGCGAGGAGGACACGGGGACAGCTCATCACTATTCTGGCTATGAAGCACAAGGTGAGTTTCTGGGCTTTTGGTGGCATTGAAAGGTCTTGTGAGGGATGTGGTGTGGGGAGGAAATGTGAATGCCAGAGCAAGATGAGGCTATCAAGTGCCTTCAGCAGAAAGGAGACTGTGGTATGTTTGCTCTGAGCTTCCCATAAGCTGCAAGGGCAGGATCTGCCTCAAAAAGGGCACAGAACGAGTTAATGGAATTAATCTGCATAAGGAATGAAATTCCACAGTGCCAAGCAGCAAATCAGCTTATGTCTCTTTTAAAGCTCTGCGGGGCCCTGTTAACTGATCTGACTGATAAAGCAAGCTTCTGAAAGGTGACTGGCAGGGATTTTTGGTTGCTCTGTTCTGATTAGCACCCAAGGAACCAGCACAGCAATGGGCTGAAGGCAGGTTGTGAGCATCAGCATGCTGGGTGCTGTCTCACCCCTGGAACATCTGCAGTGATGCCCAACTTGGACATAAAGATGTGGCAAGGCTCGGTCAGAGCAGATAAAATGGTTTCACTGGCTGCCCTGGTGGTTCTGCCCCCACTCCTGGGCAGCAGGAGAGCACAGCCAGGTCCTTGGCGCAGCACACTGCCAGCCTGCTGCCTGTCCCCAGCTCGAGGACCCTCTGCCTGCCCTGTACATGCCCACTGCAGGCTAGGGTGGGTGCCTGGCATGGGGCGCTTCCAGCTCATTTCTCTGTCGCTGTGGACAGGCTCACTAATTCACACAGATGAAACTGCACCCCAGGAGGTGGTGACTGATTAAATATGACCTTGTTTGTGCTGACACGTTTTCTCAGGCCGCGCGTTCTCTTTCCTGTTGGTAGAACTGACATAGAGAAGATGATGCCTCCTGTTAGGGCTGACATAGAGAAAATGATGCTGGGGTTGAGGCAGGGTGTTCTGGGAGGGAGAGAGCCTGGCTCTGTGTGTTTGCTCTCTGTGTTAATCTTGAAGGTGTAGCCTGCTACGTCAGTGCTAGAGCTTTTCCTGAGGAGTCAAGCTGTGGGTGAGGAGCCAGCGTGTCCTGCCGTGCCCCAGCAGGAGCTGCAGTGGACCTGAGCTCTTTCCTCAAAGGCTGTGTGAGCCACAACGGCTGCCCCAGCTCCTGTTTCACCTCAGCTCCATCCTTACAGCTGCTGGGAAACTTATTAGCTGGAACCTTCTGTTCATTCCTGGCATCTTGCTGGGGGTTTCCTTCTGGTGAATGATTTTGCTCTGAAAGGGGAACAGGAAATTAACCTTGATATTGCTGCTGCCCCTGGGACAGAGCGAAGTGTGGAGGAAACAAGCTGGTGGGGTGCCAGGTCCCTCAGGCTGGGGAACGAAGGGGAGCCAGAGGACAATGCCAAGGGGCACGAGAGCACTGCATGAGACACGTTGGGCTGGGGGGTGAGTGCATTGTGTGGAAGGGATTGGGCCAGTTTTACCTGGGAGAGGAACCCTGCAGCTGTGACCACGCTGCACAACTGGGAACGCGTGGCCTTTTAGCTGGAAATAACTGAGAAATTAGAGCAAGGGAGTTTCTGCTCTCATAACACACTCCCTGTTGGATCTGGGCTTCAGTGCAGGCTGCTATGGACTGGTCTGGTGTCCCACTGCAGGCAGGACGGTGAAGCTTGGGGGTCAGGGAGGGTCTTGGTCCAAGCAGAGCTGCTCTTGTGGAGAGCTGAGTCTGGTGTGGGCAGTGTCCCCCACATGGGTGGTGACCCAGCCCCATCGACTGCATCTCGCAGCAGGAGGCTCAGAGAGCCCTGGCACTGAGGGACTGGGATTTCTGCTTCAGGCATGTACTGAGCTTAACTTTGAAGGTGAGGCAGAGCCAGTGTGGCCCATGGGCTGCTCACTGCCCTCCAGGGATCCAGATGTTCCTGGGCTGTGTTAACATCTGGAGCCAGCAGTGATTTTTCTCCCATCTGACAGCCAGAGCCGTGCCCCTTTGTGCGTGATTGCTGGAGGGTGGGAAGAGGGGCTGAGCAGCTGTAGTCAGAGGCACTGACCTCCTTAATCTGTGATGCTATTGCTCACATTCCCAAGGCCGGGGCTGTTGTCAGCAGAAGGACAAAGTGTTCTCTGGAGGAAAACCAGGGAATGTCTGGGATTCGTGGTGTGATAAAGGGGGGGACCACAGGCTCTGGGCAGGTTCGCCTGCAGAGGGGGCCTTCCCTGCTGCAGGAGGTGGAGGTCACTGTCCCTTGCCAGGTCCTGGGGAAGCTGCTGGGGAGGTAAAAATCAGCTGCCCCCGTGTTTCATGGGCCGGGGCTGTGCAGCAGCATCCGGCCAAAGGAAGGAACCGAATGTTGCAGTGCTTTAGCCACGTACACGCTTTTGCACATGCATCTCTGGGGGGAAAGGTGCTGTCCCTGTTGCAGATCCATCCTCTCTCCAAACCTTTGTGCAGGACAGGCTGTGCCTCCCTTGGTTTCTCCTTAGCTTTTAGGCTGGCTTTAGCCCTCTTATTCTGATCTTCAGAGGAGGAAAAGAGGCCACCAACGTGCCTCGGAGCCCTTGAGAAGGGAGGTGTATTTAATGTCTGTAAGGAATTTTGGTACCCTCCTGTGCACCTATTACATTATTAGAAGAGCATAATTATTTATATTATTAATAGCAGCAATTTCCAGCAGGAGGAACATCTGTTTCTGTAATGGGAAGCAGGTGAGAGAGTTGAGACTCAAGTCGACTTTGGACCCAGCCCTGCCTTTTGCTGTCAACAAGTCTTATGCTGGGGACAACTTCCAGGTTTTTTTCCTTTCTCGCTCTTTTCCCTGCTGAAGGTTATAAAATGGCTGCATGTTCATCAAGAAGCAGAACTCACCTGATAGGGCAGGTGTCTTGTAAACCACACTGATTTCATCAGGCAGGTACTATAAAGCTTTACGGGAACCTTGAGTTTTGGGACAACCTGTCTCCTTCCCAGGTTACTTTTGCTTCCAAGTCTTGGGCATTGCCCTCCACCAGGAATTTGAGGGTGGAAGGAGGATCTGCGCTTCTCCTCTGCTGTTTTGGCTCCTCTTGCTGAGCTCTTTGTAATCTTTATGAATATTCTGAGAGCAATTGGACGTCAGAAGCTTGGGCTGGAGGCTGGGGCAGCGCTGGAAAAGTCTTGTGAAAGCAACGACCTTGCAAAGAAACGAAAACACCGAGAGCTTAAAGCAACAAACTGAAAGAAGTTACAGAGTTGCTAAAACACAGAGCAAATAAACAGAGGTTGAGTCTGTTTCTCCAAACAATGAAAACATGCCCCTGAAAAACGGCCTTGCTCTTTCAGAGGCAGAGGACTCCACTCTGCCTCGTGCTCTGCAGGTAGCAGTGAGCCTGGGGCAGCCTCTGTGCCTCTCCAAAGCAACAACTGACCCTGGGCTGCTTTGCTTTTGCTCTCAGCCTCAGCCATCGCCTCCGATGGCAGCAGTAGTGCTAGGAGACACCGAGACTTCATACTGCTCCTCCATGTGCAAAAGGCAGCCATGCTTCAGGTGGTATTCCCAGGTGGTGAAGTGGGCAGCCAAGCCTGGGTAGGTATGAAATCCCACTCCTTCCCGAGCTGTGATCAGCTCTCTGTGGCTTTGAACATGGGTCTTTGCATCCTCAATGCAGTTTTGAGCTTGCCTTCTTCACAGGAATCTTTGAACCCTTGGATCAATTAGACAGGGATAGAAGAAATCTGCTTTTATGTTTCCCAGCCTGTTTGTTTTTGTTTGTTTGTTTGCTTGCAGTAAGTATCTTTGAAGTAGCTGAGAAGTGTTTAGTGCTGCTGAAATATGCTCGACTGACCAGCCCTGTATTGATGCAGAGCAGGGAGGCAGCAGTGCTGCCAGCCCATGCCAGCCTCTGCCTCGGGCTGGGATGCTGCCCAGGGGCAGGGATGTTCCTTCTCTGTGGTTTGCTCAACCCTCCTGTGAAGGCCTGTGCTGGGTGATGGGAGAGATGTGACCCTCTGAGAGCAGCATCTCTGCCGGAGGGACAGCCCCGCACACTGAGCCTGTGAGCGCAGGGGCCAGGCAGCCTCTGCTCAGCAGACCAGCACAGGGGTCACATCACTAACAGCTCCAGGATGGAACCTGCCCTGCTCTTGCCGGTCAGGCTGAGCACAGCAATTGGAATTGCTCAATATTCAGTATCCTCAACTATATTTATTTCTTCCCAAGAGCTGCAGCTCAGCCCTTATCATTCTGAAAATGAAAGCTCGAGGCTGTGCTGGTTAATTGTACCTGCTTATGCAGGGCTTTGATGGATGAGGTTGTTGATTGAGGCAGAGCAGCTTTTGGCCAAGTGGAAGGCAGAACACAAGGTGGTCTGGTTGCTTTACTGTGCTCCAACAGATGCTCAGTGGAGCCTCAGCCTCCGAGCTCGGAGGAGCGTTGGCACAAATGTTCCCAGTAAGGCACCTGCAGGAAGGTGTCAAAAAGACCCGAGTCTGTGCTGGTCCTTGCTGTGATGCTTAAGGAAGCAGAGCAGGAAT